GAAATGTCTGCGGAGATAGGGCAATCTAGCAAGACTAAATAGCCAAGACAAATCCAAGCCAACCTTCGAGTTGAAATACGGTGGGTTAGAATTAGGTCCTCTTCAATCCTTCGACAGTGCACTGAATGCGTCCCCAAACAAAGTAGGCGTTTGCGGCACGTTAGTTCTCGTTACCTTTCGAACAAACTAGTACCGACTTGTAACACCCTTTCCAGTGCCATATTGCACCAGATAAGATTTGATGGATAGACCTAAAACCTAGATGCCTTAAACACGCTGAGTGCAGGCGCCTACACACTGCCAACAACATACCATCATAAACAGCTGGCTATCGTGCAAAGGTAAGGCGGCGTGGGCGAGATAGCTTCCTTGCGGCTTTTACTGCCCCGGCTTACAATTAGTCATTACCCAGCAGATAACTTAACACCAAACACACAGTAAACAGGCAGTACGCCTACGAGACGACAGCAGACAAGCCACTAGTGTCGAATGAGGGCCATGCTCTGTAAAGTCTTAAGCTATTCACAAGGCGGGGCACGTGGACTCCAGCCTGGAAGGTGAGGCGGACCGACGGAATCCAGTCTGGTCGTCAGTGACTTCATTTCGAGTTGCCAAGTTAGTTTTTGTCCACCTTGCGCCACCCCCCATCTGGCAAACAAAACGTTCTCCTCAGTAAGCTGTGATCACGCACAGAGTACGTGCCTAGGCCAACGCAACTTAGTAAATGACATCTGCTGTTCCAATGAAGCAGCATGATTATCAGTGCCTAGTACTCGCTTACGCGCATCATCGTTATGGACACGCTGGCGCTATCCGACACCAGCAAAGTTTCGAAGGCATCGAGGATCAAAGACTTGAAAGCGCTGAAGGTGGTCAGATGGGGGGAGTTAAGTCTCAACCCCGTAGAGTAAAACGGCCTTGCATACACAGCTCTTCAAACAGAGAAATCTCTTTGACGCCACAGATGTCGCAGATTCAAAAAGGCAGTTCTAGCTTTTGCAACGCGTAAAATGAGTTCAGTCGTTATGCATCCATAGTTGCCGATGCAGCTGCCAAGGTAGGTGAAGTGATCAACCACCTCGAGTTCCTCGCCATCAGGGGTCCAGGGGTCATCAGGTGGATGGTAATGTAACAGCTCTTTGCACTTTAAAGGTGAGAAGCGCGCGACAAATGATGGGACCACCCTTCAGAGGTTAGACAGGGTTGACTGCGCCATCTCAACATTTCGTTCGTCACCTCACTGTGGAGCATGAATCCCGGATTAGGGAAGAGCAAGCAAGAATCTGCCTAGGAGGGGTCCCGAAAGAACGTCGAAAAAACCCCGACATCCGAAACTCCTTGCTAGCCGTCATTTTCCAGTTGTCTCCAAAGTGAAAAATGGAGACGTAGAAGACATCTAGAGTAACCTAATGAGTCATATGAGGAATTTCGCTCCGTTACATCATGTAAACTATGAAAGTATCAACTGCTCCTGTACGCAGCATTGAACACCTTGCCAGTTAAAAACAGACAAAGCACAAGACAGACCATCCCAAGTCTATTCAGAGCCTGTAGAAGAGCCTCAGGACCTCAAGAACATTCACTAAATTTCAGAGCTCGTCATAAGCAAATAGGAGCGATGATACATGCTCCCCAGGCAAGTCAGTTACGTAGACAGTGAAAAGCAGCGACCATAGGACAAAGATCTACGGAGGGCGCTGCTAAGGATAACTTATCGGGAAGAAAGACTGCATCGCTTTCATCAAGAAAAGCTGACACCCACCGAAGAGTGACCCCAGATTTCCCGTAAGGCCTCAACATTATTGGGAACAGCGAGTGGGGTACAATGTCAAATGCCTTAAGGAAGAAAAGTGAACAGCATGTCCACTGTCTACGGCTTCAGCCAAGCTCGCACAAGCTACCAGTAGGCTGGTGGCCGAAAGGACTGCACGCCTGGCTTGCAATCTTTAGGTCACTAGTTCGGATCTACGTAGACGCAGGCATCCTCGCGGTATACTCAGCCCAGGCACGACCGATGTTGGTCGCGTGGCAGCGAAGCATCGGTACAGGGTACTGGCGTACCGCTGATAACTTTCTGCTTCTGACCAGTAGGTTCGCTAGACATGAGAATCCTTTGCGAAATCCATGTTGCACAACACTGATCAAGTTACCAATTTAACAATTTTTTCAATTAATGCAACCACGACGGTACTCAGGCTGATAAGCCTATATCTAGCAAGCAAGTCCTCGCACCTAGAAACAGGGCGGATCATAACTTCCTTACATTCTGGAGACAAGCTGCACCCGTTGAGTGATTTCTGAAACACACAAGTCGGAAGTATACTGAGCTCCAGTGTCAATCCGTGCAGCACATTATGATGAGCAGAATCTGACCAAGAATCCTTAGTCGGGTTCACTTACCCCAGCAACCGGAGAACTTGAGATTTCGTCACGCTAACTACCCTGATAACAGCGCACAGGAACTCTTGGGAATGGTTCTCTGCATGGTGTACTTCTTTCACGAACAAAAACGATTGAACACTACTCACCAAACAGGCCTTGTCGCTATAAGAATGGGTCCCATCCGCCCGGAGAAACTATGAAATAGAAGAGCTTGCATCGCAACGTCGCTTAAGGTAGACGAAGAACTTCGGATTGGCAGTGTTAGCAAACAGTTGCCATCGATAACTGTTTTTCAGGCTAGTACAACCATATACCAATCAACACAAGCGGAAGATATTACCAAAACACTTAACCAAGCCCATAAAGCAATATATTTTACCGCGGATGTGGAAAAAAGGGTTGGTTTCACTTTCGTGACATGGGCCTAAAGAGACTCGATAGCGGGAAGTTACAGCGTCAAGTATATAGAAAGAGCACGTAGAGCAGCCAGTATACTAGCTTCCACAGCTTGGTGCCACTGAAGTTGAGACGGAACGTAGTTATTAACCTAGTCAATAGAGCGTCGACCCGTAGCCTAGAGGTAAAGAGCTTGTCTCGCAATCTTGCGACGCGGGTTCATATCGGTGTAGGGATGGGCGTCCTCGCGATACACTTAGTCCGTGTGCGACTGGTGGCAGTCGCACGGCAGCGAAGCGCCGTTACGGCATACTGATGACATGATTATTTTATTTAGTCAGTCGAGCGGAAAGAATCTGCTCGCAAGATACGCTTTCAGAGGATCTACAGTGTATATGCGCGATGCTGCGAGAAAATGGCTATCTAGATCAACCTATAAAAGTTCACGTGAAGCAGAAGAACAAATCGTCAGTTTCAACGACTAACAGGTAAAAGATTTTCTTATAACTTCCGTACAAAAATGAAATCGTGGCCGAAATTCTTAACGGTCGTCTATCGCCTCAGCTTAGACGTACCTTACCAGCAGCAAAAGTACAAACATATCCCACCAGCACACTTGTATACGATAGCTCCATGTGTCTACATTCACCTGTGCCTGTGGAGCAGTATAAATTGGTCGTAAGACTGTCTATCCGACAGAATGAAAGGGTACTGTCCTGCATGGCTAACGGTTGGAATCAGAACAGTATGCAACTCCTCCATAGCTGCCCCCCTGGTCGACACAGGGCATAACCCTAAACTAGGGGACGCATAAAATTTTCTACAAGGACCTAGGTATATGCGCAAACATAATAAAAGCCGCTGAGGTCACCAAAATTGGGCTGCACGGACCGAATCTTTGCATTCAGAAACGATTCATTCAGACCTTACGGATGACCTGACCCGATCGAGTTGTGACCTTTACTCAGTTGGATCGCATGCAGGCTCAGACGTTGACCTGAGCAACAGCCCACAAAATTATCTAACAGACCCTTGAAAATCGATAAAGGTATATGCACAAAGAGATAGTAGAAGCCGTTGAGGTCATCAAAATTCGGCTGAACGGACCGAATCTTTGCATTCAGACCTTCTGTTTGACCCGGCCAGATCAACTTGTGATCTTCCTCCGTTGGATCGCATGCAGCCTGACGTTGAGCTAAGCAATAGCAATGGTTGCCCTCTTCTAAATGCGGCTTTTATCCCCCTTTTTTAACGACAGTCTGTCTGAGCTTGTTGCTATATAACTGCACTAGCCTGAAGAATTATCACATACTTTCACTAAAACAGCTTTTTTAATCATTTAAGGCGCTTCTTCGAATTGGTAGAGGCAGTGTCAGCTAAGCCGGATCAAACTAAGAAGTAGCTTGCAGTTATTCCGAACCACACGATACTTGTCGAAATTGTTGGTGGACTGAGCCGCTCGAGCTTCAAGACCGCTTCCCCAACAGCATCTTCCTCCCAGAACCTATTCACGGAGGCTACGCCCACGATCCCCTATTTCACCAGTGAGATGTGAAGTGCAGAAACATAGACGAGGTAAGCCATAAATATTCCCCAGGCTACCTGAGCAGCATCGGTCTCAGAGATCGCACAAAGCGATGATAGAGCATTGTCTCGCATTGTTTGAAAGTTCGTTGACAATGGGAAAAAGAAACTTCAGTGAAATTTTGGCATGATACCGCACTACGAGGCTTGCACAAAAATCGCAATCCAACAAAACATGGTGAGTGATTTGAAACAATGGTAAGAATGGGTTCGCAAAGACATGAAACGTGATGCCAAAAACAAAACATACGTTGTGGCATCAGCATTACGCCAGTACGCAGTACTGACGCTCAGCTGTCGCACAGCCACCACTAGTCGCACGTCGAATAAAGAGTGCGAGGGTCGCTCGGTCCCTACGTATGCACGAACGCCCACCCTCGGATTACAAGGCATGCTTACATTTGATGGGTCAACCATCTGCCAATAATGCTAGGAGCAAATCTGACCAGTTCGGTACTTAGGAAGGTTAGACGTATGTTGTATAAAGCGAGGAGAATATTGCTAAATAAATACGATGCATGTTAGAATTCAAAACGGGACAGACATGGTTCGCCATACTCAGAAGAGCAAGGAATAAACGGTTATCGTTTCGCGCAGCAAAAAAAGCATTTGGATAAATAGCAGCAATTGAAACTAACCGGTAGTCGTCGTATACCTCGTCTTTACGGAGGCAAGTAGACGGATCTTCTTCCAAGTGTGACATAATCCAAGTGTAAGCCTGGCTTTGTTCAACCTGATTAGACAAGTGAAGTGCTGAAGCTCCTCCAGGAGAGAATAGGCCTAATCCGAGTGTTCCGAGCTCAAAGCCATGACCAGAAAGTTCAGAATCCTCAGCAGTTACACTGATGAATGAATGCTGTGTGACCGAGGGATCCACGGGCAAAAGTAGGCAAAAAAGCAGCTTCTCGATATCCTTAAGAGAAGACACCTCACGAACCAGGGAGTCAACACGCATCCGAGCATCAGAGCTAAAATTTTGATTACTCGTGAGTACCGTCTACCTCAATGCAGCAGAAATGGTTGCTTTCAGGCAATCAAACCCTTCCCGATCAGAAGTGGTGCTAAGATCTTCAGTCTTAAGCATATTGCAATTGCTTTAAAATAATACTTGCAACTAATTTGTGAACATTTTATAAACAGAGCTGGAAGCTAGAGGGTGCATAATGATGAAGAAACCAGAAAAACCAGCCAGCTTGAACAACGAGCGCACGCTCATAAGATTCTAAAGTGGACGCATTTAAACAAACTCATTTTCAGCCGTCAATAATATCACAAGATGATTTGTAAAGTGCCTGTGTTGCCTCCTGCTACTAGCAGTAAGTTGTGTGAAATAACATTGTCTCACAGCAGCAGTTGATTTCACCAGTATTTACCTCAATATTAGTACACAATAATTACCCTACAATCAGTTAATAAGCGTTGTGTAAGCTTTGACTTTCGAGAAGCTGAGGTTAACGAGACGATAAGTTTATCTTTACTTTATAGATGTTGCCCAAATGATATAACACCCACCACTATCTGAATTTCGAATTGTTTTAATTCAGAGTATAATTCCGCTAATCGCATCATTATTACCGAATGCGATATGATTGAGAAGGTCCAACGCCGTGGATCTAAATGTGTGCCAGAGCTGCGGTGTCTATCTTATATTCTCCGACTCCAGCGATTAAACCTTTTCTCTCTGAATTACCGTCGTCATCGCAGCGATTTGAGCTACAATCGACGTAGCCCAAGAGGAGAGCTAAAAAGCGAGTTACAGCAGTTCTTTCATCTGAACATTACAAGTTTGACAGCTAGTCACAGATGGAGACTGATCGAATCCAGGAGACCCTATTTGCGGGCAAATCTAGCTCTGTCCACGCGCGTGGTTAATGACTGGATTCGCATTCCGGAGCTCGTCGCTGACGCACAGTCCGAGTAACAAGTCAAGATAAGGTTGGATGCCCACTTGATAAGTTTTCCCGGATATTGCTTCACGGCATAGCTTTAACTTTCATTGTGGAACCCTATTTTCACCGTGACCCCAGCAATATCCGCAATGACCGGGAATCGACGGAGCTGATAAAGGTCAGGTCAGGTCAGGTCAAAATCCGTGGACGATACAGGCTTCCGCCTAACGAGCGTCCAGCTTCTTGTACCGGTAAGCGAACCAGAGCCCCCGACACTTCGACTTTTGATCGCCTCTCCTTGCCTCTGCAAAAAGAAATGAAGCAAAAGCGAGAGCAATCTTTGCTTTTACAAGGATCAACATCGGATAACAATGCGAATAAATTGGATAGGCTTATATTAATTCCGGAAAAATACGCGGCCAGCACCTGTCTAGGCCTGCTTTGAAGGCAACCACAGTCTCACAATCCATTAGTTCCGAAGGCAACTTATTCCAGTTGCGCACTACACGATTTGAGAAGAACTTAGCCCTGACGTTCAGTCTAGCTCTCTGTTGTTTGAGCTTCAAGCGATGTCCACGCAAGCGTTCAGAATCAGCCAGCTCAAATAAATCAGAGGGCACGATGGCACTGAAGCCCTTCATGATCTTAAATGTTTCTATCAGATCGCCTCTCAGTCTACGCCGTTCAAGGGAAAACAACCCCAGGCTCTTTAGGCGATCTTCATACGGCTTCCCCCGTTGACCTTCAACCATCCTGGTTGCTAGTCTTTGAATCTTCTCCAGGCAAAGAACATCATCACGGAGATAGGACGACCAAGCTTGAACACAATACTCTAAGTGTGGCCTAACCACTGCTTTGTATAGTGGCAGGAACACTTCTGGCTTGGTATTACACAGAGCCCTCCTGAGGCGAAACAATTCTCGTCGCGCTTTGTTGGCGGCGTATCGACATTGCATCGGAGGCTTGAAGCTGCTCGTCATGATGACTCCTAAATCGCGTGCCTGGGTAGTGCATTGTAAGGGGAAGGGCCCAAAGGAAGTCTGAACTGCAAGTACGTCTCTACTAGTGGTCAGAATTTGGCACTTGCTTGCATTCAAGGGCAAGTCCCATTGCTTCGACCAATTTGCCACACTGATGATATCCTTGGCCAGTGTTGCACGGTTGCCCCTGCTAACCAGCTTCAAGTCATCCGCAAAGATGTAACAGGGGTCTTCAATAAGAGGAGCCAAGTCGTTTATAAACATAAGAAACAAAAGTGGACCTAGCACCGATCCTTGGGGTACTCCACTGTAGGCCACGCCCACACTAGAACTCACATCACCGATTCGAACTCGAAACGTTCTCCCACATAAGAATTCTGACACCCAAGACAGAAGTCTAGGATGTACTCCGAACCATGCTAATTTTTCAAGTAGGAAACGGTGATTTACTGAGTCGAAAGCCTTGCTAAAGTCAAGATAGCAGACCTCTACCGGAATCCCGTCGTCAAGATATCGAGTAATCTCATCGCGTAAGCACAGTAGATTAGTGAGGCACGACTTCTTTTTAATGAAACCATGCTGCTCTGCTCTAAGTAGACTGTGTTCCGCCAAATGCTCACAAATCCGGTTTCTTATAAGCTTCTCTAAACACTTGAGCAGGACACAGGTTAGACTGATGGGTCTGTAGTTAAGGTGCTCCGATTTGGAGCCACCCTTGTGAATTGCAACTATGGTTGCTTCCTTCCAGTCTCGTGGCAACTTGCATTCCTGGAGCGACAAGTTGAACAGCTCCAGAACAGGATGTTGAAGGATGTCAGCTAGTGGCTTGACTATAGCCGGATGTACATCGTCAGGACCGGCTGATTTGAAGGGATTCAAGTTAGTCATCACAGTAAAGACCTCTTGCGCAGTCAGCACAATGTCCTGCATTATACAACTGATGACACAGTGTGGCTGCCATGGTGCAGCACATCCATTGTCCCTCCTATGCAGATTCTGAAAGACTCTTAGCAGCATTTCAGCTTTATCTCTGGCTTCCACAGCCTGGCTGCCATCTTCCATAATTAGACACCCAACGTCCTCCCTTAGGGAGGCTTTAGACTGAACATAGCCGTAGTAACACTTTGGATTTGTTTTCGCATACCGAGCCAGCCGAAGCTCATAAGAGTATTTAGCCTACCGTTGCATCTTGATAGCCGTATTCCGGCTTTTTGTGTACTGTAGCCATCGTCGAAAGCCCTGGCCTCATTGAATTTTTTCCACTTATCATTTCGTCTCTTTAGAGCTCTATCAATTCTCCTCCTCCACCATCGAAGCCTGCTGAAATGTCTCGCAGGACGAAGAGGAGCAAACTCATTCAATAGTTGTACTAAACCAGTTTTAAGCACAGACCACCTTTGTTCCAAAGATGCCTGTTCCTGGTCAGGGATCCAATTGACCTGGAGGGCTCTATCCCTCAATTTCATATGGTCGATGCTGCTGAAATTTCTCACGAGGCGAGGATGTCGTGCAGGCTTCAAGGTATTTAGGCAGGACTCTCCCTCTGCGCTCTACCATACAAAGATACAATAACCGAAAATGAGTACAAAGTAATCCGAGGAAAACGGTGATCCAAAGTTATTTGGATTAAGCGAAATTTGATAAAAAACAAATTTTTTACACAACACTTGTAAACACTGTTCTGAAAAGGTCCATTGCAAGCGAAACCACAAAAAGAGAAGACTGTCAAAAATTTCACTTACCAACAAAGAAAAATCGTCCAAATTTCAGGATAAAGCTACGGCGCGCTGGCCTCGCTGAGACAGGCTATTTGCAACATGGTTGCATTAGGCTAAGTGAATCTAGGAACCATCGTCCAAAGTTCAGAATCGAGCTACAAATCGATGGGTTCGCTGACATAGACCATTTGCATAATGGTTCCAACAACCTAGTTGAGACCAACTAGCATCTTCTTCAGATGAGGATTGAGCTATTAAGCATTGGTTTAACGGATATAGAACATTTGCAAAATGGTTGCAGTAGGTTAAGAGAATCTAGGAACCATCGTACAAAGTTCAGCATAGAGCTACCAGCTGACAGCTGGGCAGTGATGGACCCTCTAACAAATGGCAGCAGCAGGCTTCCTGCGTTAAGGTAGCATTCTCCACAGACCAGAATGGAGATACCAAGCGATGGCTTGGCTGCGATGGACCATATACCCTATGGTAGCAGTAGGCTGCGTGAAAGTATGTGTCATCGTACAACGTTCAAAACAAAGCCACCAAGTGATGGCTTGGCCTAGGTAGACCAGCTATAAAACGATTGTATCGGGCTACGTGACTCTAGGTACCACCGTACAAAATTCAAAATGAAGTCAGCAAGCAAAGTCACGTTCACTTACCCGTTGGAACCATTAGTAAGGTACCTTCGCTGACGTATAATATTAACATAGCGGTTGTAAATGGCTTCCCGAATCACGGTACCTCCGTCCATGGTCCACAATACGTATCCTTATTCCACATTACCATTTCAAAGTCAATTCAGTAATTTCCTTATTTCCCAAAGCATATATGTGGGTCACCCTAACGTTGTTCGTATATCAGAAAAAGTCATTTGCGTCTACTAGGTTACCTTCTCCAGTAACCACGTGCTGTGCAAGGAAAATACAGCTCCGTATGAGCCTCTGGATAAAAGTGGTATAAGGCCACAAGTAAACCCTATCGCAAAATATCTTTGCACCTTACAATCATAGCCGGTGCCACATTATGTTGTGTTGGCAACGTCCCAGTTGGAGACAGTATGCTCTCTGTAGCCTCGGTCAAATTTTGTGGCTGCAAAAATTCTTCCACTTCCACATTGAGTGTCCGACTAGAGGCCACCGATGGAAACTATACAAACCGCGGAGGCTCTAAGTACGGTCCATTCTTGCTCTATCCACCCGCGTTGTGAAATATTGGAACCGGTTACCGCGCCTGTTGCTGATGCACAGGCGGAGAGTTGCTTCAAAGTCTTCTTAATTCACACATGCTGAATATGCCGGGATGGTGTTGCTTCAGCTACGAGTACGATGGCCTCTCCGGAGATTCCGTTGCGCAAGGATGAGCATCCCGGCAATAATCGGGAAGCGATGGAGCAGACAAAGGATTTCTCGCTTGCTCTCTACTACCCAAAGCAAGCAATAAAGCTGGAGTAGGCATCTTTTAAAGTTTGTAGAAAGTAGAAGTCACGATTAAAATTCACGCACAATATTGTGCGTGAATTTTAATCGTGACTTCTACTTTCTACAAACTTTACCCTACTCACAAACTTCCAACATCTTTTAAAGTATCCAGTGTTACCACGCATCCTCGGGGAAAAGATTGCCATTTACGGCATCAAATC